ATGTCGAAATTGATTCGGGTTTTAATTATAATTCTAGCTAAAATTCAAAAGCTCGCTTACTTATATAGTTGAGATAAATAATTTTAACTTTGCAATTCAGTTCATATAATTCTTAGAAATATGAGATGAAGTCCTTCATTCTAACTACGCTTGATTAAGATTTATTTATTTACTTTTCATGTAAACATATATAAACGTCGTCGTTGAATTTGTAAGCTCTCTTGTATTTTATCTATAAAATTCGAATAATGAAAGTTACAGTATTTTTTAAATAATGAATTTGAAAACTTTGAAAATTCAATTAGTTTGCTTTAAGACACGATGCCATATACCACTAGTTTAAATAACTATGAAGCAAAATTATTTTATGAACAGAATAGATAATAACTTGCTTGATCCACGTGCGGCTTTTGTTCGCACAGGATCCACTTTTGTTCGCACAGGGACATTCCATATCAGACTCGTGCTCCACGAACAGTGCACTTTAGCAGGAAATTGTCCTTGTGGTTTCCGAAACACTCGTATGAATATAAAGAAAAGATTCTTTCTTTATCCGTGGTGCAGTCTTTTATCGGTTTTCTAGAAAATAATTTTTTTTCAGTTTTGTTCGGGCATTTTTGACGGCGTCTCCTGCAATTCTGTATACGACCGAAGAGGGAAACTTTGCTCTCGGTCACGACTTGCCAACAATGGCATCTTAGATTCTAAAAAAAGAAATAAATTAATAATATAGTTTTTTGAACGTTTCTGGGATTATAATATTGACAAACTCAATTTTTAGCATTTCTAATGTTGATGCTTTTGATATCGCAATGTAATTTGGAATTTTAGCGACAAATAATCATAATCATAAACTTTTTTCATCTTTCCGTAGGGTAAGTTATAATAATCACAAAAATTAAAACTGAAATTGTTTTGCATATCTTAACGTTTTAGGGTTTTTTGAACATTTCAACATACCTTAGAAAACTACAAAATTTTCAAAAATAAAAATCGAAACCATTGAGACAATTTCTGGAAAACATTCACATAAGTAGTTTGTAGAATACGCTTGACTACAAATTTGAAAAGCTCTTGTAAATTCGCAGTATTTTTAATAATAATATTTGACAATATCTAAAACAATTTTTCTTAATTATTTATTAACTTTTATTGATTATTGTTTATTTTTATTCCTCAAATGTTTATAACGATACAGAAAGTTGCAGCAATTTGCCTTAAACACCTTAAATTATTGCTATAAATTATATAATTAAATTAATCACAATAATAATCATAAAAATAAGTATATGAAAGATAATACTCGAATGCAATTATAATAAATAGCAAATGCTCTTTTATAAATTTGAATTATCATACAAAAATAATGTTAGCTAATGAAACCCAACACAAATTTCTAATTATATATCGTAATGTATCATACTTACTTAATTTTAGGTCTAATGACTCATCAGAATTAATCAGTTTTTCATTCTCCACCCGTATTTTCGAAACTTGAATTTCTTTAATCCTTGTTGTTCATTCACAGTCAGCTTCAATTATTAAAAAAAAAATGTCTAATTACTATTGGTGAGTAAAGTACATTTTTGTATTTGGAAAATTAAAATTTTTTGGGTTAAATAATATGCATTATCGATTGTTTGCGATAGTCTTTTATATCATAAATATACTACTAGATTTTAAAATCTGATTTCGGCAAAAAATGAATGCAAACTGTTTTTTATGAACTTAGAGGGCTTTGGCATTTAATCTAAAAACAAAATTTAAAATGGAATCGACGCATTGAAATAAAAATTAAATTCTTTGCATATATTTTGAATTCGACGCATCGAGACAAAAGGTGATAATGTGGAGCTATTTAAATTTAATGAAGATTTATTTCGAACTATATATCTGAAACGTGGTATTTCAATTTATAAGTTTTCAATGTTATTCATAATATGCTAATATATTTCGATATTTCAATTACAAATTCTTATTTTTGCCTCCCCAACATTATATTGAAAGCTATGGAAATATTGGTTTTAATTTTTTTGCTGTCATTATGTATCGTTATTGATTTAAAAATCTTATGTTTGTTTTTTTTGCAAAATCTGCCGATTGAATTTTATTCTGTAAATCTTAAATATAAATTGTATTCATCTTTTTATCTAAATATGATTAGCAATTTCAAGATACCAATGCAAGTTTTCATTTTCAATAAAATCAATGAATTTAGTTGTAGTAGGCTTTTTATAAGTTATTAATTTTTTTTAAGTAAAAATTATAAAAAATGTCTCGTGAGCAAAGTAGGTTGAAATCCAATATTATAATTTATTCTCTAATTATTAATTCTTTTTACCGCAAAATGAATAAACGTAGTTTTCTGGATTAAAAGCAAAAAACAATCTGACTGATTTCTGATTAAATAGATCATAACTTAGTTTTCAGATAGAAAAGTATGCTTGATCTTGTCGCCTATTCTACGAATAGTTCACTTCACCATCGAAATATTTTTGTGTTGTGCCCAGAGATTATTAAAAACTTCAAAAACGGATTGGTTGTGATTTTATTACTGGTGCAAACTTCTATCAGATTTTTAGAACAAGATCCTTTTTTCGTATCATGGAGCAAAAATCTCCTATTTTTTTCTGCAATTGGAGACTTTGCTGAAGATTCAGACTTTGCCCTATGCCACAGCTGGAGGACATTTCAGATTATTATTGTGTGCATTGATTATAAAAAATTTTTTTTTGTATTTCCAATGTTGATGCTTTTGATATCATATTATTTTTGGATTTATATACAACGCACAGGCGAGAAATAATAAATAATGATTATAAATATCTAAGTTTAAATGTACGGATTGAAGATTTGTTTAATAAATGTCTTTTTGTATAATGCTGTATGAAAGTATATGTGGAGATGTATCATAAAGTATTAAATATCCATGGTTTTGGCATCAACAGATATGGGTTAATTAGTTCTGGGTGAAAATCATGGTGTTAAATATTTTTATAGAAGTAGTAATTCAAATACTTGTTGTAAACATATAAATTATTTTACTGTATGGTGCTTTGTCTGTTCATTGAGTGTATAGTTTTAATATGTACTGGTAAATGAATACATTAATAAATAATGGGCTCGAAGGTCTACAAGCTGACAAGACTGTACTAACAATCTTCTAATAACTGAAAATATAACAGCAACATTTGCTAAGGTTATTGAAGTTTTATTTTCTATATTTCCACATGCCCATCAGTTCACTTTCATAATACAATTTCAATTGACCTTTCCTTCTTTCGTATAAATTTAGACAGTAAACTAACCTGGGGACAACAGTTAATTTTAAAAATGCTTATAGTTGAAGATAGAGCAAAGTACTGTACTAGTTTGCAGGAAATAAATCTAAGTCATTCCTTGAAAATAGGTTGCTTATTAAGTACAATAATATGGACTTATGGTGTCGAATTGTGGGAATGTTCAAGTAAGTCATCACCCTCGCTTTACGCGGCAAGTGCGTACCGTGCAGTATAGGAACCGTGCTATAAGAAACTCGTATTTAACATACAATTCAGGCTAATTCGTAGTGCGTTCTATGGAACCTTACATAGTGCAGTATGGGAACCGTATTATGAGAGACTCAGAGTTTGTACAAATCGCACCATTTTTATCGCGTTGTATGGAGACCAAGAAATACAACTTGAAGTAGGAGAAATACGGACGAAATGACGTGTAGGACATTGACACCTTATTCAAAAATTGGCGCGACGCAGTAATCAGCTCAAACGTTCTTAGGCGGCTATTATACAATCAGGCATGTCTAAAAGATAAAAGTCGATAACAAAATTTACAACAATACCCTTTTGCACAACGAACTTATGGGCTGTTGACCAAATACCGTGTAATAAAAAGTCCGTGTAGTCGGAGGGATGTCGGATTTTTAGCTCCGTGTAGTATGGGAACCGTGTACCCAGAGTGCCGTGTAAAGCGAGGGCCTACTGTATATCATCAGGTGGATCACAAAATTTCCATGGTACGTCAACTAAACTATTCAGAATGATTTAAATATACCATCAGTGATGGTATGATGTAGTATATTGGTCCAGAATCTCGGAACTCATCTTAATAACAAAGTCAAACAACTTCTTAAATGACCACAATCCAGGAGGCTTAAAAGATAATAAAAAAGATAATTATCTACAAATTTATCTTAACAGATTAGCAACACATGTCAGTTAATGAAAATTGAATCAAAAAGACGACAGGATCACAGGAACAAACTGTATAGCAAATGAAGAAAATATGTTGACCATGATTAATACAAAGAGAGCTGTGTTGGTAAATCATTCAATGTGGGAATATTATTAAATTTACAGTTTTCAGCCTAATTATTAAATTGTGCTTCTACGTATGATTAGTGTAAAAAATAAATGTATAAAACAAAAAATACTTTGAATTTCTGTCTAAGTATTATTAGGTAAATGTAAATATTGTGCTTCAGTTAAGAAATCTGATATCAGGAAATGATGACAATCAGGAGTAAATCTTACTCTTATTAAAATAAAATTAAAGAAAATATGCTAGTACCATTTTAAAATGCAATTACTTTTTGCAACAAGTAAAAATTATCAGTACCCAGAAGCTACAGAATTGAATATTCATAAATATTATTAGTTAGTTGATGGATGGACACGTGCGAATAATTGAACCCATAGTTCAATTTCACACGATCTCAATCTTGTTATAATAAAGTTAAAAATAATATGCTAGTACCATTTCAAGATGCAATTACATTTTGCAACAAGTAAAAATTATTAACATCTAGAACCTGCACAGTATAGAATCTTCATAAATATTATCTAAATATTATTAGTCAGCAGATGGACACGCCTGGTTGATAGATTGTCGTGTCCTTTTATCATAATAATAATAAAAAAACATACTGGTACTATTTTAAACATGCAATTACTTATAAGTACAAATTATCAATATCTACACAGAACGGAATAATGATCCTTCTAAATATTATTAGTTGGTGGATGGTAAGACATCGCTCTGGAGAATTGAATTCCTTGTGTAATCCCAACCAGCATATTAACGGCAAACAACGAATAATTCCTGGGAGTGATCACTAAAGAATATCGTGCCCATACAAAACCAGTCAGAGCCAATGATCCTGATTGAAATGTCGATATCTGGTGGGCTGGACGAGACATATCGCTCAAGCCGGCAATTACCAGGCCCTGGAGGAAACGATACAAATCAGTTGAAATGAATACTTGTTTGGTTAAATTAAATTGTATGATGTTGCTTACCCATTTGAAGAGTGGAGCCCAGAAGAATATAGTTCTAGGACCTAGAAATATTAATATAAATAGTAAATTTGATGGGTATTGACAATGCTTCTAGTATTTTGATTTTTGGCTGGCCTAACCATTCAGAAATTTTAATGGAAAAGGTGCTAAAATCAGTCACTTTGAGTCTAAAACATGGTAGGTTCTGCAAGTCCTTTGATTTATAGCATACATAATATAATTTTTGAAATTGGTATACCAATAAGGAGAAAACATCACTAAACTTCATATTCTTTGAAAAACTACAAACTTAAGGAGAATTCATCGCAGAAATTTTTTTACTATATCTATCCGAATATTTATGTGTATTTTAATTCCTCACCTGCCGGATGATTGAAAAATTCCTGAAGCTTTTCCAGCGGCATTTTGAATTATTTCTATGCGATCATTATTTTGACAAAATATTTCAAATTAAAACAAACTGTATTTCTCTAGAAACTGAAGCCTACTAGAAATAATAATGACAGGAGCCTTTTTTTGAAAATGTAAAATTCATCAATTTCCAGTAATGCTTCTTGGAACAGGTTATCCAAATGCGTTTCGAAGTAGTCTATTAGGTCATTGATCATAATATATTTGAGGATGTTGATACAAAGCATTTCGATGGCTTGTGCATTTTCAAAATTCATTTCAGGTGAAAAAATTTCAATATTTTAATCTGTATCTATTAAAGCTTTGACAGCTATCAAAAATAAAAACACACTGTTTTGTCGATATAACAATAACAAATTTATTATTAAATATAATATTTATAGTTCAAATGTTTCACATTTTATATCAATTTTATTTTCATAATAGTCATGTCATAGTAAGCTAAAATGCTTCCGGCGATCGTTTTATCATTAAGCTACTGCCCTGAATTATACATTCTCTCTTTTGGGAATTTTGAAAAATTGTTTGAAAAAAATTAAATAATTCAAGGATACATATATAATATTTGCCATTTTTTGTATTGGCTTTTTTGCAAGAACCATTCGCATTGACAAATGTTACAAGTATTAAGTTCGTGTTGTTTGTTATTGAATTTGTTAATACGAATGTTTTCATTGCATTACATTTATTAATTCAATATGAATCCCATATGTTTCTTTATAAATTCATCCACCATTCTCGCACAATTAACATTTAGTACGTTAAATAAATTTAACATTCAACATATGTCAATATACGATTAATATTTTTTAGCGGCAGCAGTAATTTTTTTTACCAGATCACCTTCAGCTAATACCACTGTGGTATACTTTTTGTTTAAACTATATATTTTCGTTATTTTAGTATTTGTTTCGGCGTTATTTTTTGCGTTTAACTAATTTATATATAGAGCGATATATTATTTGATCGAGAACATTTCTTTGAATCAGCCGAGGAAATGGATTCATTTTTTATTCAATTTACTAAGAGAAATAGAATTGATGATGAATATCTTACTTCAAGACCTAACTTCAATTTACCACGATCATTGTCTCAGAATTTCTAAGAATCAACTTTCTCCTTAACATTTAGAAGTTTTATTTAATTTCTTTATTGGATTATTTTGTTGTCTATGTGTAATACTAATAGTTATGGTCAGGATTAATTGTTCACGTTGAGCCAAATAGACCAATGTTGGTAAAACTATATAAGCTCTATCTAAAAAATGTTCAATTTTTATACCCAGCCGATATCGGCATCAAATTTGACCAATGTAGATTGTATATTGCTCGTAGATTCAGCCCACATTAATTTCTATATGTTAACATATTGCTCGAAAGATTATTTCTACAAATTACATTGATTTATTTTTTTGCTCTTTAATCTACAGTAACCAAAACTTTTGACTTCTAGACTTATGTCAATAAACACATTTTGTAGATAAATGACATCATTGTTACTTTTTACCAAAATTAATACATATAATTGATCAGCAGTATGCAATATCAATATCAACCAACATTCCTCGACTAATATTAGCCAATACAAACATTATTTAAGATAATAGTCAATTTTGATCTAATGGCGAATATTGATCAGTTTGATTATTGTTGACCCTAATGTTAGCAAATATTATTCAATATTGCACATTATTGAACAACAATTGAATCAACATTGACCAATATTGTACTATATTGTACCATATTGACCAATGTTGTACCATATTGACCAACGTTGTACCATATTGACCAATATTGTACTATGTTGGTAAATATTGGCCAATATTGTACCATTTTGACCAATATTTTACTATATTGATCAATATTGTACAAAATTGACCTAATCGACTAATATTGACCAATTGACAAATATCAAAAACAAGATAAGGCGAAAAGATGGCACAAAGCTTGCAACTATGTATTTTATCCGTACTTTTAAGGCAATGAAATCAATTATTTTTTTCATATCAGGTAGATGAAAGAAATTTCACTTCCCAATTTTACATTTCTACAATGATGAATTAAAAATCTGCACTTTTTTGCAATTTTTTGAGACAGACATAAGCAGTTGGTATTTATCTTGAGTAAAGTATACTCTGAAACTTGGAGTTTTAAAAACTTCTGATTCCATTTTTTTTTTGAAAATTATATAAAATTCAAGAAATTTCAAGACAATGCAATTCCTCGATTTTGTAAAATTCTGATGATTAATTCGAATATTCTTTCATTGACAAAACCTAGATTTCTTTACCCATTTCCTCGATCGATTCCCAAAAATGTTCTCGTTCAAACTTTTGTAAATTTGGGGCCAAGTTTTGCGCGCTACTTATTTAAATATATATACTTATTTTTAGCCAACTTAAATTACAGCGATTTTTTTTATTAAAAATTCTATCTTAGCAGCAGCGCGGCTATTTTCGTTTTAATTTTAATTACGTTAAAATTGGACGTCAAATATTTTTACGAATGATTGGGTCGATTTCTTGTTTTGTTATTTACAGCAGATGTACTTTTGTATAACATAGGAAATAGGAAATATACACAAATGTTAAGTGATAGATATTATTTAGTTATTTATTAAATTATATAATTTAAAAAATTATAAAAAAAGTCCGAAAGCTGATTTTGTCTGTGAAAAGTTTAGATTTCTTAAAATCATTGTATTAGTTCTGCTTTAAACGGAATTTAGGCAACTTGTGAACAGGAATAGAATTAAAAAAAAAATGAATAGATCAGAATAAGTTTACTAAAATTTAATCTAATAATTTTATAAGCAACAAAGTTCTAAATTCAGACCAATTTTGGACGTTTTCTTCTTGAAAAATCAAAAATCTGTTTCTAATTTATTAGTGCTGGGGTTTAATTTTAATTATGTTTTACAAACCTTCAATAAATAACGAAAAAATATTGCAATTTTATGAAATATCTATTGCACAAAATGAACGATTTTTTATACGATGTTTTAGGTGTTTTGCTTCCAACATCAAATGAAATTAAATTAGTATCTGATATAATTTTTTTGTTTAATTTTAAATTTAAATCCAATCAATTAATGTGATTAATTAGTTTCAATAGCTATCTATTGATTTTACTCCAAAATCAACTATCAACACCAAAATTTAATTTATTTTGAAGGATTATTTTTAAATTTTGTATTTTTTAATACAAGAACATTTTGATTGCAAATAATTTATCATCTAAAACTATATCACAAAATTTTGTAACCTCACTTTTAGCTAAATTGTTAGTACAAATTCCTTTCCCTATGTTATACAAAAGTTAAATAGGGCATCATTATATTTTTTGGATAAATATCTATATATTTATTATTTATTCCTAGGTCATATTTTCGTCCTATTGGAATGTTTGCGAAATATATGAAATTTTTATCTACAACAATTAAAGTAATTAAAATTTCAAATCAATTTACAAATATATACAGAGTAGATGATAGTCTAAATTTTGAATGGATTTTTCTTAGAAATTTTCAAAAAATAAGTTGGATTTTCTAATATATATTGACTCCAAGTGAAAAATTAAGAGATACACATTTTTTTCTAAATAAATTAACTTAAGGTAAAAAATTATTGTTGGAAAATATTATTTTCAACTAAACTTGTCGTTTTAACAACTGGATTCGCTATTTAATTTTTCTCTTAAAAGTCTTTTTGAAGATGATTTTATCTTTCGAACAAATCTTTCAAGTTAATATTGACATTTTTAATCATTCTAATTATTTCCATATGAATCAATAAAAATTCAAATTAAACTCAAACTTTTTCAAAAATTTCTAAGAAAATACCAAGCTTTTTGATGCTCACATTTCGAGCTGAACTTTTTATATTAAAAATTATTGATTTGCCCACAAAACATGATTGTTGAGCGAATTAACCCAAATTAGCCCAAGTTTAAATTGGAATTGTGAATCTTCATGTTTAATGAATTTACTTAAGAGTTAGGTATACATGATTTAATAAACATAATTGGGTCTTGCACTTTTACCAATAATTAGCACTTGATTTATTGTATCTTCCAGATTTATATAATTTGTTTCAAACTGTACTTCAAGTAATTTGTGATGTTTATCAATATTTTTGGTAAATATTTTTTGGTTTTGGGCTAATATGGGCTAATAAATGGCTTTAAATTGTTTTAGCCAATGAGCACATTATATAATCCGTGGGCTGTATGAAGCAAAAATTTGGTAAAAAGGCGATTGTTGTAAAAGATTTTTATTTAAAATCTTTAACATATATGAATACATGAAAATAAATTATTAAATCTTCGGTAAGAAAAAGGCAAATTCAGGAAAACAAAGCCCCAAAAATCAAATAGACTTAATTAAACATAATTTAATTTAAATATAACTATTGTTATATGTATTAGTAATGTTTAGATTTTAAATCAGGCATTAAAAAATTCAATTACATAATTTTTTTGTTCGGATTTCACGTAATTCATTTTTCTATTAAACATTCGCCTTTTCACTTCTCAGAATATTTTTACTCAATTTCCTACATAAAAACATTTCTCATGAACACTAATACGATTTTTTTGCACAAAACTTAACAGTCAACGATAATGTATTAATAAATCCATTTAACATAATTATTTCTTTTAACAAACATAATTATTAACATTTAATAATTAATAACAAATAATATCTAATACTGCGTTTTTTTGATATCGTTCGAAAGGATCAAGTAAATTTTTAAATGATATTGTTATTTTTAGTTTTGGAAAAAGAACTGTGCACAACTGGGGAAAATAGTGTGAAAACATGGTGGATTTGGTTTACTTTGATTCAGATTGTAATTTTGAATCAAAAATTGATTTTAGACTCACTTTGATAAATTTTCATATTTGATTTTTTTATATACTGTTCAACTGATGTCTTTTTTCCATCAATAATTACTGATCAAATTTTTGCAAATAGATTCTGGCGTTCATATATA